TCTGAGCTACAGGTGCCGAGCCATGAACATATTTCTTTGTCCTTTTCTCCTCTCCCTTATCCAGGAGTGAAGTGAAAGAAGTACCAGGACCAGCTGGAGCCGGGTCAGCAAAATGTCATAGATTTGGAAACTTTTAGGTTTTAAAACAGCTATCAAATGATACATAAAAGTTAAAGTAACACACATAAGTTACGTCTCATTATCCTGTTACTTTGAGTAGCTTATTCCCATTTGAATGTGTCTTATCATGGGGACACATGACCTTCAGGAGGCAACGTCTTTGTACTTCTTGCTAAATATATCTCCATCATGCTTAAGCTATTATCATAAACTCCATTAAGGCGATTTTTCTCCACCTGAGTCTTGGAACACTAGAATGGACAAAAGAAGAATGAATCAAACCCTCATTCTTCTCAGTCATCCTCAGCTTCAGCTTTAGCACCCAGTCTAGGTTTCAGGGAAAGACAGACCCAAATCTACTTTCTGGTTTCCTGCTTATCCTTCAAATCAGACTTTTAAAATCTCCTTCAATGGAGGTGGATGAGGGCACACATCATCTGCAAATCATCAGTTCTTCATAGGAGAATTGCAATATTCTTGAATTCTCAGGGTACTTTCATTTTTAATCTTCTAGGGATACCAGATTAAAACAACATTATCTCTTAGATAAATTAGAAGATAGCTTGGGTCACTGAAAAGCCTAGAAGACCGTGACTCATCTTGATTCTAGTTCCACATTGGCCATTATATACCTTGGAGCAAATTACTTCCCATCATCAAGCTGTAATTTTACCATTTGGAGCACTGGAGTAAATGGTTCTCTAAGAACCTTCTCTATTTTGATATTCTATGGGCAAATTACTACAGAAGAAATTATCTTCAGTTGTTGGTTCAGTCTTCATGATCTGAAGGATTTGATTTTGAGGTTAGGAGTTGGTTCATGACATTCTATGCACTTTGCTTCAGATCAAGCGTTGAAAGGCAGGAAAATTGGTTTTCCTTGAGATGACCGTCTTGCTCCTTCATTGGTTGGGATGCCTCATGTTCAGAGGTCCACTGAGAACTTCAGCTTATCATCATTTTCCCTTTTCAAAGGTATCTCTGTAGTCAGGTGTAAGATAGTAATGTGGACCCCTCAATGACATTTCATCCAATTCTCCAGATTGTCTTATCATTAATTTCTTTCATTCCTCCTCCATCACTGCGTCATGGTCCCTTTAAGGGAGCGGCCATAGTTGAGTGGTGGGAGCAGCTGCTGGCAGCAAAGAGACTTGCAGGATCTGGCCTACCCTGGGCCACTTACCGCGCACGCTCAGGACCGGGGGCTTGGTGGGAAAGGAAGGAGGGACTTAAGGTGCGCCTGCGCATCAGGGGCGCGCGCAAGGGGCTGGTTTGGTGATCCCTTTAAGAAACCGCAGGCGGAGGAATTTCTCTGAGAGAAAATAATCCTACTCACGGGGCCCCTTGGAGGCCATTAACCCCCCGAGTCCCGGCCCCCCCCTTTCCCCGGCAGGCCCTACAGCCCACGCGCACACCCGTGGGCTCTCAGGATCTGCAGCCCGGCGCGCGGTATCCGCCCCCTGCCTGCTCAGCTCAAGGCCCGGCCGGGTTCGAGGGAGCTGCTGCGAGGCGGCCGTGCCTGCAGTGTGGGCGGGGGCCGGGGGCCGAGAGGTACCGCCGCCACCGCGCCGGGAGCCGCAGCGGTTCCGAGCGGGGCCCAACATGGCGGAGAGAGAGGTGGAGTCCGGCCCCCGAAAGAGGGTAGGTGAGGTGAGGCAAAACTCGGGCGGCGGGGGGCGGGGCGCGGCCCGGGGCCGGGAATGGGCCATGCTCAGGCTTGTGCGGGGGTCTCCGAGGCCCAGTTGGGGCCAGGTTGTGGACAGGTCTGAGGCAGTCTTGGGTTTGGAGCGCGCTGGCGAGTGGTCCTTCGGCAGGTGGGACAAAGATTTGCTGCTGGTGGGGGGGAGGGGCGGGGGGTGTTGTTTGCGTCCCCTCCTCCCGGGCCAGCACGGGGGTGGGTCATCTCCGCCCGGGGAAGAGAGGCGCATCTTCAGTAAATCAGTGTTTGGAAGTTTAAACCGGGGAGAGGTCAGGTTGGGGGTGGGGGTGGCGGTGGCGGGAATAAGTCGTGGAGGGGTCTCATGAGAATTAACTGGGAGGGTTCTTCAGTAACATCATTGAGAATTCATTTTCCTGCCTCCTTTCCCCTCCCCCCATAACCGTTATCAAGACCAAAGTGGAGGTGGTGCTCTTACCTGTGAAGAAGTGGGGTCTTTGGCATGTCCTGATTTAAGAGAAAGATTTTTGGCAACTATAAATGTCATGTTCTAGTCTAGCCTCTTTATCTGCAATTAGAGACGTGGAAGGAGTATGACAAGTTTTGTCATAACGAGGATGTACCAATCAACCTGCAGAGGTGAAGCCAGTTCTGCATAGGAGTTGTTGAATATCTTTTAAAGTTTGTCTCGAAACTTTTTTTTTTTATTCTGAATGATTTTTTTTTCCAGATGGCGAACAATACTGTATTATCGATTGAGCAATGTTTTTCAGACTTTTCTTTGACTTCCTCCCCCCTTAGCACCATAAGCAGTGTTTCCTTTTAGGAATCTTTTCGGAATGGTTTCAAAACGATCAATTGTGGCAAACAATCGGGGTAAAAAAATTCCTACTTTATTGAGAATGCCTTTTCAATTTAACAGAAAATTATCGATCTCATATAATACTGTAGTTAACGTTTTGAGTGCTTACCGTGGCCTTGGCACTTTGCTTAGTGCTTTGCACGAAGTATTTAACCTCATAGTAACTTTCTAACTCATTTGCAAGTGAGGAAATGTAGGTGTGGAGGGCTTAAGTAATTTACTTATGATCAGATGGCTAGGCTCCGGCGCCTGTGCTCAGTGTTTAGGGCGCAGGCCACAAGCACCGGCGCTGGTGGGGGGCTGGTGCGTTCGAATCCCAGGGCCTGCTAAACAACAATGACAGCAATCCCAGGGCCTGCTAAACAACAATGACAGCAACAACAATATAGCCAGCGTTGTGGTGGGCATCTAATAGTCCCAGCTACTTAGGAGGCTGAGACAGGGGAATTGCTTAAGCCCAAGACTTTGAGGTTGCTGTGAGCTGTGACACTACAGCACTCTATCAAGGGCGACATAGACTCTGTTTCCAAAAAAAAAAAAAAAATGAGATGGCTAGTTAAGAGATTGAGCTAGAATTTGAATACTGGTTTGTCCCCAGTGTAGGGTCCTAACTGTTGGATGTCAGGTAGGAGTTTCTTTAATCTATGTTTCTCTCCTTGAAAGCTTAAGTTATAAATAACCAAAGAGATGTTAAAATATATTTTTCTAACAGTTTATTAGGAAAATATTTTCAACTATCCGTTAAAATTAAAAACCTTCCAGGGAGCTTCCATCTATCCAGCCACTTAGATTCTTCTATTCTCCTTGTACCATGCTTGTTTTATCACGTATTTATCCACCTTATTTTAATGAATCATTGTATTTTGATCAATTAAAATTTTTTTTGTTTTTGAGACAGAAGTCTCATTATGTCACCCTTGGTAGAATGCTGTGGCATCACAGCTCACAGCAACCTCAAACTCTTAGGCTTCAGTGATTCTCTTGCCTCAGCCTTCCCAGTAGCTGGAAGTACAGGCACCTGCCACAACGCCCAGGTATTGATTTTTTGATTGTAGTTGTCACTGCTGTTTAGCAGCCCCAGGCCAGGCTCGAACCCACTAGCTTCGGTGTATGTGGCTGGCACCCTACTCACTGAGGTACGGGCGCCGAGCCAAGCAATTAAAATTTAATGTTGATAGTCTTATAAAAGTATTGGGTTCTTCTCAATAATTGGTCATAGATAGAGCAAGTTAAGCTGTATAATGGTATGTCTAAATAGTTCTTTAGCATACATATTGGGTATGGAGTGTGTATGTTTTGAAATTTTAAGTTTTTCAAGTTTTGATCATTTTTAAACTGGATCTTTACTTGCTTGAATGAAGGCATATTGCATGTTGTCCAATTAAAACATATAGGGCAAATTACTTTAGATGTGTAATGTTAATTCAGGGAGATCTCTGCGTTTACTTGTTACTAATGCTGTCATAAGATAGGATGTTCTAGAATGTTCTAGGAAGCATCTTTGCCCTGCTAAGATAGGATGTTCTAGAATGTTATAGAAAACATCTATATGCACTTTGGCAACAAATTCAACTAGATTTTAAATGGATCCTTCTTTCTCTTGTACGCTTAAAAGTTGCCATACTGGTAGCAGTTAAAACTTATTATTTTAAACAAAATATAACATACGCAGCACTTTTGGAAGTTTTCCCCATTATATGACCCATTTCATTGCATAGGAGGGTTACATTCAATATCTTTCAGATCCATAATTGATTTGTTTTGATATTTGGTTAGAATATTCAATAGGATTGTTTTGAATGGTATTTCCCCTCTTGTATGTGTGCATGTGCCAAACTCCTTGTGGATTCCATATGTGTA